TTTCTGGTGATTAGATAAAAAGCCCGTATTCCTTAGGAATTTAAGAAACTGGTTCCCATCTGCCAAAAGGAACCGTTTCCCTTACCTCTGGCAGAAGAGACCCATGCCATCTATCAGCATATCAAAGGGTATAACCATGGGTTATACTCCATTTAACATCTTTTTTTTTTTCCTGAGATAAGGTTTCTCTGTGTAGTTTTGGTGCCTGTCCTGGCACTCATTCTGTAGACCAGGCTGGCTTCAAACTCACAGAGATCCGCCTGCCTCTGCCTCCTGAGTGCTGGGATTAAAGGCATGTGCCACCACTGCCCGGCTCCCATTTAATATCTTTTCATGTATTGTGTGTATATATTTTAGGAAGCTTCCATATAACAGGTTTCCATATGACTTTTTTTTGGGTGTCAGTTATCCCTCCTCATATTCCTTCCTATATTCTGCTCTCCCATTCCCCCACCTCATTTAACACTTTTTGTTCCATTATTCCCCTCTAACCATTTATACTGGTGCATTCTATTTCTCATTTCATGATAGCCCCCTTCTCCAACTATGGATTCTTGATAATTTTCTGATATCTATGGGTATTCAAATGGAACACACATATTTCAAGATTCAAAGCTAACATCCACAAATGAGAGAAAACGTGCAACATCTGTCTTTCAGGGTCTGGACTACCTCACTTAGAATAATTGTTTCCAGCTCTATTCCTTTACCTGTGAATTTCATAATTTCACTTTTACAGCTGGATAATATTCAACTGTATCTAAAATCATTATCCATTTATCAGTTGATGGGCAGTTAAGCTATCTCCAACCTCTGGCTATTGTAAATAGAGCAGCAATGAACATGAATGAGCAAGTATCTCTGTTGTCAGATATATGTCCTTTGGGTATATGCCAAAGAATGGTATAGCTGGATCATGTGGTAGCTCTTTTTAGAGGAAAGTTAACACTGATTTCAACACTGGCTGTACCAGTTTGCACTCCCACCAGCGATGAATAAATGTTCATCTTTCTCCTCATCCACACCAGCATTTGTCTTCATGTTTGCTTTGTTGTGTTTTTTTTTTAACTTTTAAAAATTGAATCTTTGTGGATTTCGCATCATGCATCCCCTCACTTTGGCCCTCTGCCCTTGCAACGTCTCCCTCAAAAAAAAAAAAAAAAAAAGTAAAACCAAAGGAAAAAACAAAAAAAAACCCCAAAACAAACATCAACAACAACAAAACAAATCTTGGTGTGGAAGCTGTACTGTCACACAGTGTACCATTTAATCCATATATCTTGTAAGTGTTCATTGCAAGGAGTCATTGGTCTGGTTCGAGGCTGCTGGCTTCTCCTACACTATCAATACTGAGCCCTCACTGGGACTCCCCCTGGATATCCTGAAGTTGTCCTTTGTCATGGAGATCCTGCCGATTTGGATCTGTAGGTTTTTCCCCTTTACATGCTCCAACAGTTCATAGATGAGGTGGATGTTGGGGTGGACCAACTCATAGCCCTGGTTCTGGACCTGGGTGGTTGCTGGGTTGGTCAGTCTGCTGGCTTTCCCTCATCCTCACCACCCAGACAAGCTCTCCAGCACTGCCCTGGCTAGCTCACCCAATGTAGCAGACAGCAAGGAGTAGGGTTAGTTCTCCTGCTCCCAAGATCTTGAGTTCAGCTCACCCACACTCACACCACCAGGGCCAGCTCTACTGTTTTACCCAGGAGAAGTGCAGGTCCTGTTCTCTCAATTGCTGCAGTTGGTGAGGGGCAAGACCAGCTCTTCCGTTCTCATGCACCCGAGGTTGGCTCTCCTGCCTGCTGCAAGTGGCAAGGGGTGTTGAGGGGAGAGGGCATATTTCCTTCACCCTTGCCACCCCATGACATACAAGGGAGGGCATCTTTTCCTCATCCATGTACTCCTCCTGTGCTAGCTCACCTGCATCCCTGACAACAGCTCTATTGTGCTTCTTGGGTAAGGTACGGGGCCTGTGTTGTGGAATATTAATTGAAGATGTGTTACATTTGTTTATACTGTGGAACATTTGTTTAATGATGCAAAGATGTGTTAAATTCTTTTATGTTGCATTTATTTAACTCTGTGAAGCTCTGTGACCTTGCCTGTCTTAAGCACCTGATGATTTAATAAAGAGCTGAATGGCCCATAGCCAGGCAAGAGAAAGGATAGGTGGGGCTGGCAGGCAGAGAGAATAAATAGGAGGAAAATCTAGGAAGAGAAAGATCTAGGAGCGAGAGATGTAGGAGGATGCGAAGGGCCAGCCACTCAGCCACAAAACCACCTATAGAGTAGGAAGTAAAGAAAGATATACAGAAATAGAAAAATGTAAAAGGCCAGAGACAAAAGATAGATAGGATAATTTAAGAAAAGCTGGCTAGAAATAAGCCAAGCTAAGGTCGGCATTCATAAGTAAGAATAAAACCCCATTTGATTATTTGGGAGCTGGGTGGCTGGCCCCCCCAAAGAGCAAAGAGCAAGAGAGTAAGAGTAAAACACAACCAAACTACAGGCCTGCTCTCCAGAGTGCTACTGCCAGTGCTAGGCAGTGCCTGTTCTCCAACTGCCTTTGCCTCAGGGCTAGCTCACTCACCCACCAGGGGTGACAAGGGGTGAGAGAAGGAGGAAGGAGGTCATCTCTCTGGCCCACTCCACCACATGGCAGATGAGGGGTGGGGCCTAACCTCCCTCCTGCATTCACATGGCTGGATCACTCGTACCCCCATCAAGGGGAGTCAGCTCTTCTGTGCTGCCTGGGAGAGCCCACTCTCCTGAGTGCTGCAGTCTGTGAGGGGCAGGATCAGGTCTTCTACTCTTGTGATGCTGGGACCAGCTTTTCTCGCCTGCAGTAGGTAAGGTAGGGCTGGGGGCAAGGGACGAGGGGTGAGGGAAAAGGGGGCATCTCTCCCTTGCTCATGCTACCATGTGACAGACCATGGGGCTAGCTCTCCCACTCTCACATCTTCAGGGCCGGCTCATCCCACCTCCACGAGCAGGGAAAACTCTACTGTGCTGCCCAGGCAAAGTGCAGGGCCCACTCTTCTGAGTGCTGCAGTTGGTGGGGGGGGGGAGGAACGGTTCTCTCTAAAGCTGCAGCCAGTGAGGGGCAGGACCAACTCTGTGCAGGCCTATCCACACGGCTTTCAGGGGTAACAGGAACCAGGGACATCATCACAGGCTACAGCTGCAGCAGGGTCACAGACCAGACACGGACCTTGGCAGCAGCCCAGGCCCCGATGAAACCCTCACCCTTGGTGGTGGCACAGGCTACTCAGATCTGCATGGCCCCGACAGAGGCTCAACCCTTGGACACTAATATGGCCCTAAGTGGTGGCCCAGACCCCTGACATCTGAATGGCCTTTAGTGGCAATATGGGCCACGGATGTCAATACAGACCCCAGCTGTGGTTGGACCATGGACCCAGACACGGTCCTTCGCAGCAGCTTAGGCCTGATGTCACCATGGCCCTAGTTGGCAATGCAGGTCCCTCTGATCAGCATGGACCCATTGGCAGCATGGCCCTTGAACACTCACATGGCCTCAGGTGGGGTTTCTGATCTTGGGCATCTGCACAGTTTTTGATGGCAATAGGAGCCTTGGACATCAGTGCAGAATCTGGAAGTGGCAGGGTCACAGACCCAGACTTGGCCCCAGCCACAGCTTGGACCCCTGTGATGCCCTGGCCCTGGGTGGTAGCTGCTTGTCATTCAGGTCTGTATAGGCCCAGCAGTGGCACAGCCCTTAGGCACCAAGAAGGCCACAGGTGGAGGCCCAGACCCTGGGCATCAGTGTGGCCTTTGGTGGCAACATGAGCCATGGACATCAGCACAGACTCAGGCTGTGGTAGGACCACAGGCACAGAGTAGGTTCTTGGTAACAGCCTGGGCCCGATGTCACCCTGACCCTAGTTGACATTGCAGATCACCAAGATCATCATCGTGGACCCCAAAAGCCAATATGTCACCAGGTGGCAGCCCAAACCCCAGGCATCAGCCCAGCCTTTGATGGTAACAGGAGCCATGGCCATCAACACAGATCCTGGCTGCAGTAGGTAACCTTTTTGTTTTTCTTTTTGACACTATTCAGTGTACAGCTGCCACATAGAGTCAGCATGAAGGACACAATAACGTCGTACACTGGGTGTTTTGTTTTCTTTTTTGATTTTTTAAAGTCATGGTCAGTTTATCAGGAGTATAAAAAAGATTTTTAAGTATTACCCTGTTTCTGAAATCATGAGAATTATACAGTTTGAAAAATGCACCTTAAGGAGTGTCAGTCAACGTCTGCTCTGGGGACAAGGGATAATATACCTCCTGGACTGGGGGTAGGACACAGAAGAGACAGAAACCCCGCTACAGACTGGATGGGATGGATTCTAGTGTTTTTTTTTCCTCTGGCAGAGTCACTCCTAAGTTCCCTGAGTGCTTCATACGGTGGGAGGGCAGTGGAGAGAATTGGAGCAGAAAGATAGACTTTTGCTACCTGCTTCCCAAGAAGTCTTTGAATATTCTCTTAGAAGGTTTCTGTCAGAGTCCAAGGTTAGAACCAGATTCCCAGGATGGGCAGAATTAGCTCTGTTTTTGGGAAAGACTGTTTCTTCCTAGGGACTTGTCCTCCCCTTCTTCAACATTTGTGGTCTGTCAAGTTAAGAGTGGGGGAACAGATGATAGTGGGATGGAAAAGAATGAATGAGTCAGTGCAAACCTACTATGGTACTTGGGAAACGCCGGCAGTATTCAGGGTATACTGATGCTGACTCAGTGGTGTCATTTTATGGAAAGAGACCTTGTCATTGGGTTTAAATGACAGTTCCTTGATAGTTTACACAGCCATCTTGTTAATTCTTGAAAACAAATGGAGCAAATGTACAGAGAAGTCACATCTTTATTGAAAATATAAGAGAGTTAGTGTCAGCAAAAGCTTATGAGCATCTGGCTCCTGAGCAAAGGTGGTTCTCTAGAATTCCTCCACAGTCTTCGGGGAAAGAAGCACCTCTGAGCATTTATAGCTTCTGATCTCTCCTGTATTGTTCTCGTCTCCCCTTAAACCAATTCTACAAGCCAGAAAAAAAAATCCGTTCAGTAGAGTAATCACGATAATAATCAGAAAACACACCGTGTAACATTAGCTGCCCTCTATAATTTAGATGGCACAGAAGAACCTGCTTTCTAGAATGTGGGAGGGCCTGGTATCCACCCCAGGACTGCAAAATAGTCCCTGGACAAACGTTGCATGCCCTTCCCCTCTCCCTACAGTAATTCACTCTGGAGGAAGTCAGCAGCATTTCCAGGCAGATGCACCAGCGGTGCTTCAGATAATTATAAGGTTGGGTGTTCTTATCTGTGTGGCTTCACCAGGTGCTTTAAAACAACAGAGGGACCAGACATTTGCACTCTGCTTTCCCATTCCCATCAGTCTCTGTTTAACCAAGCTTACATCAGCATTATCAGTGCTGGGTTCTGCCTGTCCACTATCCACACACTCAAATTGCCCTGTAAGGATAAATCTATCCTTAGTTTTCAGTATTTCAAATAATTTAGGATCCCAGCACTCAGGAGGCAGAGGTAGGCGGATCTCTGTGAGTTCCAGCCCAGCCTGGTCTACAGAGTGAACTCCATAACAGGCACCAAAACTACACAGAGAAACCCTGTCTCAAAAAACCAAAAAAATAAAATAAAATACAATTTAGGATCACGGAACTCTCTGATTCTTTTCAAATTAATTCAGATTAACTTATTTGAATTAATTTGAAAAATTTATATTTCATAACTCTAGTGGGATGTCTCCACAGAGACATTCTATCTTAAGAATATTAGTGTTACAAGGAGTTACACACACATTTCTATATCAATATGTTATTAATACAATTAATTCATAGAATGTGTACATATCTTATATGTTAAAACACAAATATTCATAATTATCTACAGGATACATGTATGTGTGATACATACGTGTCTAAGGAGTGTGCTCCTTTTGGAAGTTACGCTTCATCTTGAAATGAGCCATTTTAAGTGGGTTGGATTTTTTTATTCCATTTTATACCCACAAGTAGCATAAAGCTTAAAAGTCATTTTAAGGGGCCTGTAGAGATCTCTAAGAGTTAAAAGCACTTGCTGCTCCTGTAGAGGACCCAAGTTTGGTTCCCATCACCTATATAAGGTAGCTCATGACTACCTGTAATTCAAGCTCCAGGGGACTTGACACCCTCTTCTGGCCTCTGAGGGTACCTGAATTCACAGACATATCTATACACATGAATTGTTTAAAAAAATCATTAAAAAACGTGTCATTTTGAAACATGATGAGGTTAAAAAAAATCACAACACAACAACTTTACCCACAGGATGAAAGTATCCACGATAAGAAGCAAGTTCTAGAACAGCTGTCTTGCCAAATTGTCTTCTCCTTACCTGAACTCTAGCTTCAGTCACACCTATCCATCTTGCCAGCTGTTTTCTGAGGGCAAAAACGGCAGAAGTTCAGTACTGGGCATCTTGGGTGAAATAAAGTATGTGAAAGATACTTTATATGTGTTTTTAAATGTTTGTCCCATCCTTTACCTTCTGTGACATTCACCTTGAAGATTTTGAGGCTTAAAAAATTCTACTGGTAATTTTGTTTATTATCATCATCCATTAACGGACATAAAAACACACCACATCCTTAATAAGCAATTTGAAAAACACTAATATGGACAGCAAAAACCTCAAAAGAAATGCTCTGGACATCAGGAGACTTTCTCAAATAATAGAACAAAAGCTACAAAACAAACATAAAGAGGAAAAACCTGTGTGAGGCTTTTGTCAGGATTGAAGGGCAAGCTCAAATAAAAGAAGATGGATTAATGGGGAACATCTGAAGATTTCTAATGTTTAATTAACTCATGAGGATGTCCAGCCTGCAGATCACCAGGGAAATGACATGTTACATTTATTTGTTTAATTTATTTAGCATGTGTTAGTGCATGCATTCCATAGGTGTAGGGGTGTGCATACCTGTGCTATGGTGCACCTGGGCAGGTCAAAGGGCAACTGATGGGTGGTGGTTCTCTCCTTCCACCGAGAACGTAACCCTCTATTATTTTAACCATTCAACCATTCACACTTCTTTTAACAGGACTTTACTCATATAGAAGACATTGCCCAAAGTTTTCCACTCTGATTCATCGAAATACTATATGAAAATACCTTCATTCCCATTGTCTTAGGGTTACTACTGCTGTGATGAGAAAACCATGACCAAAAGCAAATTGGGGAGGAAGGTGTTTATTTGGCTTGTACTTCCAGATCATCATTGGAGGAAGTCAGCATAGGAAGTCAAATAGGACAGGAACCTGGAGGCAGGAGCTGATGCAGAGGCTGTGGAGGAGAGCTGTTTACTGGCTTGCTCCTCATGGCTCCTTCAGCTGCTTTCTTCTAGAACCCAGAATCCACAGTGGTCTGGGTCCTCTCATATCAATCAATAATTACAAAAATACCCTACAGCCTTGTCTACAGCCTGATCGTATGGAGGCTCCCTCCTCTGATGACTCTAGCTTGTGTCATGTTGACATAAAACTAGCCAGGACACCCATTTTTCATGACTCTCACCCTTACCCTAGCACACTAGTGCAGGATGTCTGGCGGCCTTGATTTTGGAAGGGGTTTTTATTTAGATAGGGTAAGAGAGAGGCTGAGGAGATAGTTCAGAAGGTAAAGGTGATGGCCAGCAAGCCTGATGGCCTGAGGTTGATCCTGGGACTCACACAGTGGAAGGAGAGAAGAGACTAACTCAAGCTGTATTCTGACCACTGCGTGTGTCAAGTGAAACCTACGCCAACAGAAACACGTTCCCACACCCACAAACAAAACACAACAAAGGAATAAATAACATGCAGTTTTGAAGGGGTGGCAGGAGGAGGACCAGGGAGAAAGCCAAAAGCCATCCCAGGAAACAGGGAGTAAAGGCCAGGCTATCGGCTTACCTTACTTCTGCACTGATGTAGTGACTATGCTGGAAAATCCGCTCGAGCTCCTGCAACTGCCACTGGCGGAACTTGTAGTGGAAGCAACGCTGGCGCACCAGCACCGACACTGGCTGCACACTTTCTGCAACCCGCGGGCCCTCTCCAACTGGCTGCTTTGGCTGCTTCTCATTCTCTTGGTCGCTGCCGCTGGTGCCATGGTCCTTCTGGCTCAAATTATCTATGAGGCCTGCAGCATCAGCAGCCGAGGGACCTTCTCCACTTAATTCTCCGGCTCTTTCCCCTTCCGCTGCTGCGGCTTCCCGCCCAGGCTGGCCCTGTCCACTCGCTTCCTCATTTCTCCCCTCTCCAGCCGGCAAAAGCATCTGTGCCTTTGCACCTAGAAGTAGGGAAACAGAGGAAGATAAAGAGTCAGAGCCCAGGGTGGTCTGACGGTGCCGTGAAGTTGCGGCAAAGCCGGCAGTGCACAGCACCTGTCTAGTCGTCTCTGTGGAACACTCCTCTCCTCATGGATATCTCCAACCCACCATTCCCAACATGCACTGACCATTCAGTTTTTCTTCATCCTCATCGAGTCCCCCATGAAGCAGGTAGTTGGTCTTTCGGCGCTCCATGTCTTGAATGCTCACTTGCAGCTTGCCTCAGCAGATTCTGAGGTGGAGCTCCTGGCGACTGCGAAAGCCCGGGCTTCTCAACCAGGAAGAGTTCTCTTTTTGCCCTGGGGGCCAGTAGCACAGGTTACTAACTATCCAATCATGAGAAGGTTATCCTGGCTCCCATTTGACCTCCTGCTGCTATGAGTTGAGCCCCTGAAGTACAAAACAGAGAAGTTAGGTCAGAAATGAGCAAGCTGTGTTTGCAGGGAAGGCACTGTCCTTGGGATGCACGCGAGACTCTCCAAGTTGCAGCTTTGCCTTGGTGAATTATCTTCCTAGGAAAGGTGTGATGGTCAATTGTGCCAACAGACTTATACTGAAGAAGAAAAACTCTGGAGGCTTTGGAGAAATGTTTTTAGACTATCACTTGGTTACTTGGGGGTGCTTTTTCATGATTTAAATCCCAGTACTCTGGGGACAGAAGAAGTGGATCTGTTCCAGGCTAGTCTGGTTTTACACAGTGATTTCCAGGCCAGACAGAACCACAGTGAGACAATCCCTTCTCAAGGCCTAGTAGTTCACACTAGGCACCTATTACTTGACAGAGAACAGAAATAAAGATTATCCATGAGGTCTTTTGCCCATTGAAATCCTGAATAATTATCAATAGTATGGTGTACATATTTCAATTTTCCAAATTCTGTAAAGTGAAACATGTCCATCTGCCAGATTTCATTCCTTTGAGTACCCTTTGGGTTACATCCTGCTGGTAATGGCGTTTGATTGTAGAAGGAACAAGTAGGACATTTCTTTACTATTTCTTTGGCTTGTTGTCAGGTTATGGAAAAATCCTTTTTTAAACCTTTACTATTGACGTGATGTTTTTTATGAAATTCTGAGGCCTCCAGCACATTTCCTATCAATAATTTATCAATCTCATCATTGTCTTGTGCTAGAGGGCCTGGCAGACCAGTATGGGATCGAATGTGAGTTATATATAAAGGATGATTCCTTTTCCTGATTGTATCTTGTAATTGAATAAATAGTGAAGTTAATTCTGAAGCATCAGGGATAAATTCTGCAGTCTCAATATGTAATACTACTCTTTCAGCATACTGAGAGTCAGTTACTATGTTGAGAGGTTCTGAAAAATCCATTAATACCAACAGAATAGCATACAATTCTGATTTTTGAACTGAATTATAAGGACTTTGAACCACTTTACTTAAATTTTCTGATTTGTAACCTGCCTTGTATAAAATGTATGAACTCCAGACATGGGTTTTTCCCGTGCAATTCGAGGCAAGATCCAATCAGCTCTCTTTATAAGATCAATTCTATTGCTTTTGGGATATTTGCTGTTAATTTCTCCCAAAAAATTACTGCAAGCTCTTTGCCAAGGTTCACTTTCTGTCCATAATTTTTCAATGTCCTCCTTAGTTAAAGGCATGACAATTTCTGCTGGGTCAAATCAAGTCAGAGATTTTTTCCACATAAGTTTTTAATTTTTTATTTGGTTTATTTGGTAAAAATATCCATTCCAATATAATATCTTCCCTCTGCATTAATATTCCTGTAGGAGAATGCCTAGAAGGTAAAATAACCAAAATGCAATCTAGCTTTGGATCAATACGATCCACGTGCCCTTCATGTACTTTCTTTTCTACCAAGGCCAATTCTTTCTCAGCTTCAGGTGATAATTCTCTTGGACTATTTAAGTCCTTGTAACCTTCTAAGGTTTTGAACAAATTATGCAGTTCATCATTTTTTACCCCAACAATAGTTCGTAGATGAGAAATATCTCCAAATAATCTTTGAAAGTCATTAAGAGTCTGTAATCTATCTCTCCTAATTTGCACCTTTTGGGGTCTAATTTTTTGTAGACCTATTTTATATCTTAAATAATTAATAGAATCTCCTCTTTATATCTTTTCAGGAGCAATTTGTAATCCCCAGCAAGGCAAAATTTTCTTTACTTCTTCAAACATTCTAAAGTATCTGCATTTGAGTCAGCTAGTAAAATATCATCCATATAATGATAAATTATAGATTTAGGAAATTTTTTACATATCACTTCCAATGGCTGTTGTACAAAATATTGGCACAGAGTTGGGCTATTCAACATTCCCTGTGGGAGGACCCTCCATTGAAATCTTTTAACCGGTTGAGAATTATTATAAGTAGGCACTGTGAAAGCAAATCTTTCTCTGTCTTTTTCTTGTAAGGGTATTGAAAAGAAACAGTCTTTTAAATCAATAACTATGAGAGGCCATCCTTTTGGTAACAGAGTAGGCAAAGGAATTCCAGATTGTAGAGAGCTCATTGGCTGAATTACTTTGTTAATTGCTCTAAGGTCTGTTACCATTCTCCATTTACCCGATTTCTTTTTAATAACAAATACAGGAGAATTCCAAGGGCTGGTTGATTCTTCAATATGCTGAGCATTTAACTGTTCTTCTACCAGCTCTTCTAAAGCCTGTAGTTTCTCTGTTGTTAAAGGCCATTGCTGGACCCATACAGGCTTGTCTGTTAACCATTTTAAAGGTAGAGCTAATTTTGAGATGACTAGCTGAGATGATCCAGTCTCAAAGACTACTTGAATAAGGACTTGAGATAAACCCTGAACTTTGGCATTATACACAGACTGGATAATGAAGGATATAGTTACCTTTCCTAGAATTTGACAATTAACCTAAAATTTTTCTTTCAGGATAAAGATAACTTCGCCCATACCCAGCAGGAAGCAATTTTAAGAATACGACGCCCACATTCCCAAAGAGGTGGTGTGGGGCGGGTTGTTTTTTGGTCTTTTTAATGGGTTTTGGGTCTGGGATAATTTTCATTGTTTAAGGGGGTTGGTTACAAGTTGTCGTCAAGGGTTAGGAAAAAGGCTAAGCAAAGGAGATTAGATTTAAGGTTCTTGTTTAAAAAGAAAGAGAAAAAAAGAAAAGAAGAAAAAGACAATTACTAGTTTTAAATACTTTACATTGGATTGTATTGTTTCATATTGTATACAAATTATATATATTGAAATTGATATTGTTAGAAAATGCTATATGTATATTTCTAATCGTACTTATACCGTTCATTTAACAATGCAATTTTCTGATCCTTGAATGTTATTATTACCAACTATTAGGATATAAAGAAATGAAAGTTAGCAGTTAGACATTACAATAGAACTTGTAGTCATATTAGATATGTTTTAAAAATTGAGCAGATATATTTTAGACAAGTCATCTTCAAACCCTTCAGAGATCTACAGAATATGGCATTTAAAATGTTTTAATAACTTAGAAAATTTTTCTTTTTTGAGACATGTTGGCTCCTGGCAGTACCAATCTACTTCAGAGAAAATATGGGCATTGAAGAAACTGCATATGGAGTTAACTTTCATTGTGGCAAAAGTTAGCTACTGGACAACAAAGTATCCTTGAATCAACTGCTGACAAAATGGACAGACAGGACATGAAACAAAGGACTACTGATTCTTGCCAAAACAAGTGTGGTTATGGCTTTATCAAAAGGCATCTTCTGAGGCCAGGACAATATGGCACCATCCCTGAAGTGGCCTTCACAATCCAGAAAAGGTACAGTGCCCTTTTCTTCGAAGGCAGCTGAACAGGCAGTGGGCCGATGGCTTCTGATGTGCAATGGAACAGCAGCTGAAACAGTTATTCTTGAAGAGTAACTAAGCTCACGCCTCTCAATAGTAGACTGGCATTTGATAGAGGGATGTGGAGAAGAACAGGATGCTGAGATGAAGCCATATATACACAGCCAAGAAGAATGGACAGTTGAATTAAAAAACCATCAACAATTTCCAGAATTTAAAATCCTGAATCATGACATGACACTAGTGGAATTCAGGTGTTTCTGGTACATGGACTGCTCTCACCCAATGTGAGGTTGAACTGTTGACCTTCTGTACATCCTACTTCACAAATGAGTTTGTCAGATACGCTAAGCCTATAGGCTGAAGATGATGCCCCAGCACTGCAGAGAAACCTCAGGTGACTGTCCAGGCAGCTGGCTGTTTCTGTCAACTCACAAATTTTTTGGAAGTTGCCTGCATGCACTTTCTGTTTTTGTTTTTGTTAACTAATATTATTTCCTTCTTGGGCCTCTGAGGGAGTTGAAGATTAGTTAGTTATAGTTGAAGGTTAGTTAGTCATAGTTGAAGATTATTTAGGATAGAAAGTGAATTAGATACATTTTGGACTTACCAAAATAAGATAGATAATGAAATTATTTTCTCTGAATTTGTCAAATACAAATGGACTAGACATTGTTTAGGTATTTATTACTTGTATATATTGTATATAGTTATTGTACTTTTGTATATAGTTTTTCTTTTGTTAGTTATAACCTTTTTCTGTTTTTCTTTTTATTAAAATAGAAAAGGGGAAATATGGTGGTATTTTATTTGTACTGAAATGTGATTTTAATTGTATGTTAATAAAGTTGCCCAGGGGTCAGAGCTATTAGAGCCATAGCAAGAGCATGGCGGTGGTGGTGCACACCTTTAATCCCAGCACTTGGTAGGCAGAGCTAGGTAGATCTCTGTGTGTTCAAGGATACAGCCAACATTGGAGACACACGCCTTTAATCTCAATACCATAGAGGACCTGGAGGGCTGTACATACAGGCAATGACGAGGCAGTCATATGTTTGGGTTTACAACCAATAAGAAGGCAGAACAGACAGTCTATATAAAGATGAACAGACAGGAAGTAGCTCCCTCTTCGGAGAGCTCTCTTGGCTGAAGCAGGAAGGGTAAGGCTCTTAGTTCTGACCTCTTGGCTTTCTTCTCTGAATCGGCTCTGTGTTTCTTATTTAATAAGATGGTTGGTTACATCTACAGTCTTTTCCTTTGGGTTTTCATAGAAAGTGAATTTAGAGTCTGTCTTATTTGCATGGTCTACCTTTACTGGAGCTTGGGCGTGGATTGGGGTTTAGTAGTACTGTTAAGCCTTGTTAGTGCTGTTAAGTACTGTTGAACCTGTGAGAATTGTCAC